AAGTGCAACAACCAAACACAAAGATTTTTCTCCAGCTCAGTCTGGAATAAGGAAGGTATCTTCCAACTCTGTTACCATGTTCTAAATTATCCAGCTAAAATTGACAGCAACTGCTTCGAAATCTTCTTCTTTTTTTTTTTCCCCTGCTAATTTCTGCTTAATAAATCAAAATGGTAAGATATTTGAGAGACTGAGAAATGGTCAATTGACACAACCATGAGGAAAGCCCGAGGTAGCTCAAAGACCCCATTTGATACATATCACCTACCTGTTATTTTCACACTGTTCTTTTTTAAGGATACCAGAGTGGGGAGAGAAGCTCTCCAAGAAGAGCTACACTTAGTTCGTAGTCCTCTCCAGAGACAAAAGAAATGCAAATTTAAGCCAGGGCAAATCTCACTGCTATTGGGCTTTAAAATGTGTCCTTTAGAATTACACTTACGCAGTATTAAGTAACATAAAACATATTTCCAATATTAGGTCTTGATTATTTGCCACATTTGCTAAAACAGGCTATAGACAACAGGGAACTCCACTTGACACCAGCAATTAGCTTGCTGTAGAATCAATGCATTTTATCTTCCATTTTCCCATTATTCTTTTCACAGTAGGGAACTCTCTGTGCTAAATGAACACTTAGCTTACACCACTCAGACACTCTAGAGGAGCCAGGCAAGCTATTTGCTGCCTTCTACTATAATCTTCTTGGAAACAAAAGGAAAAAACAAACAAACCACTTCGACACAACTAAGTCAAAATAAGAACCAAGAGGAGGCCAGGGGTAAATGTGCAAAGGAAGGAAGGGAAGTGCACCTGAAGCCGGACTTAACCTCTGAAATGATTTTCCAGAAACGTCCTGTCAATCTGACAGAGAAAATCGGATACATACAAAGTGTGTGAGAAAATGTACCCTCTGACGTTTTTATCAGATATTACATAACACTGCTATGGAGCTGCATCTTCAGGAATCCTAGGAATAAAACGTTTCTCATAGCATACACCAAGCTAAACTACTTGCAAGTAGCAATTTGCACTCTGCTTTCTTAATGCCCACTGGATGCACAGGCATAGCAGATCAGCAATAATTTTCTTCCAGTTAAACAGTAAATAATCAAAACAAAGGGACAGCACCTCTAAGAGCTTCTAATCCTCTTTCACACACTTCTCCAAATCAGTAAGCTGACAGAAGAACACTGAGGACACTTAACTGGGCAATTTAGCTATGATAAGGTGTATCCAGGTATTGAGACAACCCTCAGAGTTCTAAAGTGGTCACTTCAAGGTGGCGGGGGGAAAACAACCAAACAAGTGATGGAACTCTTACCACACATTCCTCTCACGCCACTTCATGTTTGGTGACGAAAGACACATCCTACAGAGTGTTCTTTAAGTGGCACACACGCTGCTTACAATTGAAATATGCTTTGGAGCCTCTGAAGCTCTTAAGTTTGCAGTTTTGGTAGCCTTCCAAATAATGCAATTAAAATTGGTAAACAATATGATTACAGCTGGCAAACACTCTCCAGCTTCACAGTGACAGCTTAAATATAGTTGTCAGTCTTCTATGCTGAAATACCTGAATACTAAAGCTGTTATCAAATACTCTGACTTCTGTCTTTTGAGACCTCTGAATCATTTCATTATCTTGACACCCAGACTTCATAATCAGTCAAACCTTTTATTCTATGAGACAGAAGAGTCAGTTTCATGAACTGCTTTTCAATCAAAACACTTTAAAAAAAAGAAAAGAGTACTCCTACCTTCATTTATTAATAATAATAGTAAAAAGGAAACATGAAACCTTTTACATGTCTTTACTGGGGTTTATTGGTGAGCTACAGGAAGTACCAGCAACAGAATGAAAGGTTGCTTCATCTCCCATCTTTTGACCCAAGCAGTTTGCCAAACATTACTTCTCCTGTGTTCTGGATGAGGTTGAAAAGAAGGTTCTTATTTTTCTGTCTGAACTGATAATGAAAAGTATTTCATTATTATTTACTATGAAAAAAAAAAACCGAAACCACAGTGTGATGCAGAAAAATTCAGACACGAGGATCTGTCTGGAGCGTTCTCAAAGATTTTCCTTCAATTCCTTCCCCCCAGGCTTTGAGCTTTCTTTTATGCTGAATATGCTGGCTCTGTCTCCCCGGGTTAGTTGTTTTTGTACTGCTGATAGTCATATCTGATGTATTCACATAATAGACTTGCCAAGTGGGACTGAATGTTCCAATGATTTGGAAATGTCCGGAATGACTAAGACTTCAAGTTTGGCCCATGTAATTAATTTAATTGGAATCAAATATTCTTAAGTTACTCAGATAATTGAGAGGTTTTCATCTGTGCCTAAAATTTAAGATTAAAATGATGTTTATGGTAACGATGAAGTTCAAATACAGTGAAACTTAACAGGTTGATTTATTTGGTCTCACAAGAAATTTGGATATGGCAACCCTTTTAGGACTTCACTGAGTAGTCTAATAGTACATACTAGAATAAGGTAACAAATTATTTAAGAGATCAGCCCTATGTAGAGATTTGTGGAGAGACAGAAAGAAAAAGTGAAGTGCTGCAGGTAGTATTTCTCCCTTCCTGTGACCACATAGACCTATGAATTTTCAATGTGCTGGGAGAAAAAAAAAAACCAAAAAAACTTATCTTTCAGCATATTCTATTTTCCATAACTGAAGACCACGAGAGACAGTTCAGTTTCCAGACATCACTAATGCAATTCCAATAACGCAGAAAGTGTGCCTTTCTGTCTTATTGAACAAAGCTGTCCAAAAATACTTTAAAGAAATAATTTTTCTGTTCAAATCAGTGATTTTATTGGAACCCATGATAAAGATCTCACTGTCAGCAACCCGGTAGAAAGCTCACAAAGCCACAAATTGCAGATGAATATTTAATACACAGATTAAGTTCTGTAACTGACCAACTACTAAACATTCTGACGTTACCTCTCATATTTCTTTTTCCACAGAAAACTTTAGAGAGCCTTTGTGGTATCTTTGCCCTTTCTATCGAGAGTAAACAATTTCTGGAGCCGAAAAATATTTTGCGACAGACGTTTTTTATTTTCTACTGAGTGAAAAGTGAGAACCACGGCAGTTCCTGTAATCCTTCTCCCCATCCTCAAAAACACGTGGGGAAGGAGGGGTGGGGATGGTCGGTTTTGTTTTTAAAATGAGGAGCAGCAGAGCACAGCAAAGCAGATGAAAGAGGATGAGAACTGAAATCATCACCTCTGATTGTCTTTGCTCCTCTCCACAGCAGGATGCTTAGGGCACCAGAGGAGCTTTGTACAGCCCACATCCTACCTGCACCTCCAACCAGAATGCACCCACCTTCAAGCTGGAAGACCAGACTATGGTTACAGTATCAAGCTTTGCAATTGTGTCTGTGAGATACCCACTAAACGCATTTTTATTTAAAGTTTGCTTACTACAGGAAAATACAGAGCAAGGAGAAAGTTGCACCAGATTCGTATGGAAATAAACCCTTTTTGCTTTCCTCTACTGATTTTGTGGGAAAGAAAAGGAAGACACCACAGAGATAAGTATATCAGATATCAACTGCATACAGTGCCAAGATATGTTACTTCATTTATTAGTGCTACATTATAGCCTTCGATGATACCCTGTTTCTTAAAATCGGATATTTAAAGTAATAAGTGAAAACTTAAAGCGCTTGAATATCGGCATAAATAACCTAAAAATGCCTATTTTTAAACACTAAATACGGGCAGACCGTGCCTACCCTTATCCAAAAATGCTCTTTGCAGCCCTCCAGTGGCCAAAGACACAGCAAAACCACCAAGAAAACTACTCCGATTTGCTTGATGAACTACCGGCAGCGTTTAAAAGACATCTCCCACGAAATAAAAGCTCACATCCTTGTCTAAAAAATATATATATATATATATATATATAAAGGAGATAATGACCTTAAATTACATCAGAAAGCAAACAGCAGGAAAATAATTCTCCTGCATCGAAAAATGTTGCATGTTTTATTTTAATCTGCCCAGAAAACCGTGTCTCCCACCAGGACATCAAGGTATGTTGGGTTAATAACAGAAGTAGCAATTCTTTTCCTGAAGTCACCTTCTGCTATTCATACAGGTAAATATAAAGAAAATTAAGCAGCGTTTGCTGGAAAGAATCAATTTCCTCACAAAGTTTGGACTCCAGTGGTTTGGCTTTTTTAAGAAAACAAACAAACACACCCCAAACACTAAAGTTTTCTCTTCTCTCTACGTTCACGAATAAAAACCAACGGTAAAGCCTCATATAAAAGTAAAAAGAACTGAAACGTTTTAAAAATAATATAAAACAAACCGAAACAGAGTTCTCAAAACTTAAGTTTCTAAAACTTGGGGCTAGAAAGTCAGACCACAACTGCAAGGAAACAACGCCAAGGGAAAACAAAACAACCAGAAGCAAGAAGCCCTGGGCACCTGTGAGCGCGGAGCCTTTGGAAGGGTCAAGGCTGGCTGTCTCTGGGAGGACCGGGCGGATCGGGGGAGCGCTGCGGAACAGCGAGGGCTCCGGCACCCCTGCGGCAACCTGCGCGTCCCTCCCGCGGCGGGACCGGCCCGCGGGGTCACCGCGTGTCACGGCCCCGCGGAGAACTTCACAGCCAACACCTTCTCCTCCCGGCCCCCTCCTTCCAGCCCTTCCGTCCGGATCCGCGGACTCTCAACCCAGGCGCGATCCGCCGGGCTCCGGAGCGGCCCCGCAGCATCACCCGCAGCGGGAGCGGCTCCTCCCGCCCAGCCCGGCCGCTTCCAGCATCCCCGGCGGGCACGCCCGCAAAAGTAGCGGGCGGCGAGGTGTCCGCCCCACCTCCGCTGCCGGCCCGCGGAGTCGCCCCCCGCCCTCCCAAACTTTCTGCCCGTCCCTCCGGGGAGCGGCGGCGCGGCGGCCCCCGACCAGCCCGGCGAGGAGCGGCCGCGCTCCCCCCGCCGGCCCCGGCGCTCGGTCTCTGCCCGCGGTACCTGCCTTTGGCGGCGAGGAGGCTGCCCAGCCCCAGCGGCAGCAGCAGCAGCGCCGCCGGCCCCCAGCAGCCGCAGCCGCGGCGCCTCCGCATCCCCGCCGCGGCGCCGGCCCTGCGCGACTGCTGCCGGCCGCGGCTCTGAGCGGGGCGAGGCGGCGGGCGGGGGCTGGGGCTGCTGCCGCCGCGCCGTCATTCGCCCTCGCTGCCAGCGCCGGGGCGGCTCCGGCCCCCGCCCCGGGACCGCGGCCACGTCACGGCGAGGGGAGGCCCTCAATATTCATGAGCGGGGGCTCCGCCGGCAGGGGCGGCCCCGCTCACCTGGCGGGCAGGTAGCGCTCCCCGCCCCCGGGATGGGAACGGGGACTCGGGAGCAAGGGCGTGGAAAACGGGCGGGCACTGAGGGAGACGGGACGGAGAGGGTGAAAACGAGGCTTTGCCGAGGGATGCAAAGGGCACCAGAACAGGAGGACACAGGGGTGATGGCTGGAGGAAAGGGACAGAGCAGAGAAGATGAAATAAGACAGTTCAGTAAACTCGGAGGGAAACAGGAGACCTTGGAAAACAGAGGCGGGGGAAGGACATGAAATGCTGTAATTGCAGGAAAAGGAGAAATTGGGAAGGTTTTGGTAAAGGGGAGAAATGAACAAGGAGAAGGCAAGACTTCAAACCTTAGAGACAGAAGCTGTACTGGAGCAGTGCAGAAGGGCCATAGGATCGGGCTGTGAAAGCAAGGAAAGCCACGTGTGGGGGCTCAGAAATTACATTCAGGTGCAAATCGTAATCAGGAGCGCAGACAGGTGAGATGTTGTGGAAGGAGGGCACCGGGAAACACGAAGACACTCACATGAAGATTGTACACTTGACCAGCTGTAAGATTTTAGCTACATAAAAGCTGTGAGAGCACAAGGGGTTATTGCAGGGTACCTTATGCCCTGCAGGGTCGCCTCATTTGTGCTATATCCCATAAATTGCTCATCAAAGCCACCTAACTCCGGAAAACCAGTACTCCCACAACAGAATCACCACTCCAAAGGATTCTCGTTAATCACTTGACTGTGGGAGAGTTTCAGTGTGACAGAAGGAGCTGTTGGGTTGGGACAAACTTCTTTTTGGTTGCTCACCATTTAATTAGTTACGGGATCTGCTTTCCTGTAATCTCTATTGTGAGCTGGAATGGAGTAGTGCATAGAAAAACTAGAGAAATTCTGCAGTAATCTTGGGCAGTAACAGAAAACTATATAGAGAAAACCAAATTTTGCCAGCATTCACTTGTCATTTTTCTACAGAAGAGACTTTCTGACGAGGAATTCAGCTATTACAACCAACCTCTGTTGGTCAGGAGGAAAGTCCTCCAGTCCCAAAGTGTTAAATGTTGCCAAGCAGTGCTGGCTGTGTGTGCACAGGGAGGGTTTCCTGCTCGGAGCTCACGAGCTCATTCAGTAAGATCCTAGTCCTGACTGTGCTTCCCGATGCCCAGCTGGGATCACACCGTGACCTGGCTTGGGAAATCAGCCATGGACATTGCAGCTGAGCTTTTTAAAGGTGCACTGCTGTGCTGAGTGCCCGAGCATCTGTCACCTGGAGGTAAATATTAAATATAGTGCAGAGAGGTTTAACTATCAACAGTAATGGGAATGACATCAATCCATGTGGTCCCAGCCAAAACCATCCACATTTACAGCGGTGAGACAGACAAAGACTGCAAAGGTATAGGAGGAACTTACTTTAAAATTGATAGGATTTTAGTTTGCTAATTTAAAAGGAAATAAATAAATGTGGCAAGCAGCATCAGAAGTTGATAACACAACGTTCCGCTTTGTGAAAAGTTTGAAATATGACCTATGGACTAACATCTGAAATAATGTACATATAAACACAGGAACGTAATTCAGAGGAGGGTATTTTCATACAGGGAACTAGCAAATATTTGAGAGAGTGAAAACTGAAAAATATTGCTTTTCAGTATGAGCCTGTTATTAACAATCCATAATACAACTGGTTTGGTGGGGGTATACAGACAGCATATTTGCAAGGTAGAGGATGTACAGGAAGATGCATCTCCTCAGCTGACTTTATAGTCTAAATAAATAACCCATATAACAGAAATCAAAAGGGACAAATGTTACCTCCATTCCACAAGCAGGGAGATGAAGAGGTTTCACCAATAGGCAACATTACACTGGTGTGAGAATCAAAAGCTCTTTTCCCTGTACTTGATTGTATTTGTGTGTTGAATGACACCCTGGGTGTTCTCCAGTCTTCTGGTGCCTTACACAGGTGATAGATGTAGATGGACAGAAATGTTTACAAACAATAATGATGATGTGGCACTATGCAGAAATTCAAAACAATTAGTTGCCACAAAGTCTTCTATTGTGAGCTGCTTTGCAACCCAGTGTGTCCATTAACTTCTGCAGCCTTCACTGGCATTTAAGAAAGCCAGTTGGAAATCCTTTACTCATTTTATTCTTTCTTTCTAACCATTGAGCAGCTGAAGGAGTGCATCTTTCAGTTTTTGCTTGCATACATTTTTGACAGACCCACTGCAGTAGGGAGATGTATTCTTTAGTCCCAAGCAGGAACCTGCTGAAGGATTACACCTGACCTGAGAGCCATCCATTAACGTGTCTAGAACCGCCACTTTCTTCTGACGTGCTTTATTGGTCTTGTAAAATAGAAATTCTAAAACAAGGGGGAAAAGGTCACAGCCATGCATTTACTGCGAATTATTGACATGGGCCTGGCACCAGAAACAGTCAATCAGAAAGATCCATTTGAGTCTAGAGATGTAAAGATTATTTTTATCATAATTTCCCTAGTGTCGATTCAAGATACTGCTGCAGGCCAGGATTTAACCCTGACAGGCAGAGTTTGCTGAAGAAACCTGGGTAGCTCCAAGGTCATAGTCATGATATAGCAGGATATTTAGCTGGGATTTTTAACTATTGCTATGATCAGGTTTTCTAAATAAAAGCTTTTAACATAACAGTGAATATTAGTGTTTCTAAGTAACAAAGAAGAGAGAATTTAGCAGTACTATCCATGTACAAAGTGGTGGGACTGTAGACTCCGTTAGTTAAAAAACAACTTAAGCATCAAAAATAGAGGAAATCATGAAAGAAAAATCTTCTTCAATGCTATAAAAGTCACTTTGTCATCACTAGAAAACAATTCAGTATGTAAATACACATAATTCAGATCCTGTAGCAAACCCTACTGTAGCATTTGTTATGGGATCATGGTCTGAGGTTCATAGTTCTTTATTATTTTATTTATGTTTGCGTAACACCAAAAATGGGAAGCACATAATCTGATTGGGTGCCTATAGCCATGATTCATACAGGGTTAAAATTAATGTATAATTAGCCATAACCAACTAACTAAGCCACAGGAATCTACATCTGATTACATTTAGGAGACGTTTATGTATTACCAAAGAAAAGGGCAGTACGTTTTCCTGCTGGGGAAACTAAAGGGAAAGGAGCATAAATGCCTTTTTAAAGAAGAAAATAGATTTAAAATACAGCCTTATAAAGCCTGCATTTTCATATGATACAAAGAATCTTGCTATTGCAGCCACAAGGGAGAAAAAACACACGTCCACTTTTCCAACAGAATGGAAGTCAATTTGGGCTTTGCTGGTGAATATAAAGTAATGAGTTTTCCTGTGTGCCAAACGCAGCAGCAATGACATTGGCCTAACTGATGTTTCCAACAAGCATGAAGCAGGCCTAGGGTCACCCTGATTGTTTTGTTCTCATTCCACGGGCTTAAACTTGCCTTGGACACTAGAGGACATGAAGAGAATGATGCAGCATTTTGCCACTGCTACCACAGGGGCCAGTGCCTCTCTAGAAGCTTGCAAGCATTTCTCCAGACTTACTCAGGTCAGGAGCTTTTAATAAATAAGTAAGGTGGCCATAAAGTAGAACAGAACAAACAGCCTGAGAAATGAGCATAAACACAAACATTACTTTCCATATATGCTGCAACTGCTAATGTGTTAATTAAACAGAAGAAAATGTACTTAAATTATTTATTCTTAATAAATGAACCACCTGAATAATAAATACATGTGTTTTGCAATCGTCAGGAAGTTTTTTAAACAAAAGGCTCTTTTGCAGCAGGAAAAATCACATAAAAGGTGGGGAGAGAACTGTATTTGTTTAAATAACATTAAGAACCCAACCAAAGCTCTAATGGTGGAAATTAATACTGCTGACAGGCTATTGCATTGTCTCCTACAGTTTGTGTATAATGCTGTAATTCCTGTTTAAGAATACAGATCAGAGCTCTGAAAGGAAATTTAACCCTACATTGTCTAACCAGTATTATGGGAAAGGTGCACCCAGTTCCTCAGCTCTGATATTTGAATCCTTAACGCTGAACCTTCAAACCCTGCTTTTGTCAAGCTCCTCAATTGCCAGAGACATCGACTGTGCTTTGGGCTCCACAGGAAGCACACGGTTTTAATTGTAACTTCAAAAGCAATATTTGTTCTAAATGTATTATGAACCTTGCTTGGCTTCTACAGTGAGAGATCACTAAATAAAATCGTGTTACCTGTTAAGTTAATCTTATTTAATCACATCAAAATAGCCCTTTGATGGACACCCGTGTAAAGCATTTGTGCCTGGCAGAAGATGGAGATGGTAATTGGGTAGGAGACATGACCAGACCTGAGCTAACATCCTATTACCATCATGCTCCTGGATGGACTTTGGAATGACATTTAACAAGTCTTGACAGCACGTTCCCTTTGACAATCCTGCAGTACTTTTTGCAAGACTGGGGATCTTCTACCCCAGTTCCTTCCTGGCTGATGAGACACCCCTTCCCTAACTTCCCCACGAAGTTTTAGGTGGAGATTGTACTCTTCCATGTTCACAGATACAGTGATTACACACACACACAGTGTACTGAATCTCTGAAAAGGCAAAGAAAGCAACACTGCTCAGGAAATCCACTGATGGAAGCCACAGTTGAGCACTTAACACTGTATTACTCTTTTTATTTTTTCCTTTTAATGAATTTCAGATTCTCACTCTATTTTAATATTAAGCAATGAGCTAACACCTACTAGGTGTTTGCCTTTTCAATGGTAAGATGAATTACAGAGTACTGTTATCCTTCTTTTGCACTCTCTAGTTTGGATCTTTCATTAAAGAC